TGACTTGAAGATGAAATGCCTTTTAGTCCACATTCTGGTCAAAGATCTGAATGAATTCCAGGTTGTGTGGCCTTCTCCGATAGGCATCTTTGCCCTGGACCTGGGGGAAGAATTAGGGGAGTTTTATCACCCCGATAAAAGAGTAAGAAATGTGCTTTATCACCCCTGAAACATAAATGAATTACATGTTTAGGACTGAGTCCCATCTTCCAATGCATATATGCAAAACCAGAAATATAAAATACATCTGATCCCAAGCATTTCATGGAAGACATACTCAACCTGTGTTTCACATTAAACCTACATAAATCTTTCCATATAGGCAAGTACCTACTGCAGTGATTTCCTCCCAGGCTGAATCTACACTGTAAAATGAAAACAGTTTGACATCACTTGCTGTCAAACAACATTGATGTCCATGTTATGGAATCCTGGGAGTTGTAGTTTGGTATTTTATTTATCATGTCAGAAGCGAATTGAGGGTACAATTGTAATGTATTTAAAAACTCAAACAAAGTTAAAAACTTGCCATTATATGTCCTTTGATCAGTAGATGGACACTTGAATCGCCTTTGTTGTTGCTAAAAGAAGGTCTTCCATTGTGCATGTGGCAGGGCTCAGACTGCATTGTAGTAGGTGGTCTGTGGTTTACTCTTCTCCACCCGCGCATGTCGTGGACTCAATTTCTTAAGGTTGGCTCTGCAACTCATAGTGCCAGTGCGCAGTCTGTTCAGTGCCTTCCAAGTCACCCAGCATTCTGTATTCCCAGGAGGGAGTATCTCATTTGGTCTCAGCCACTGATTGAGGTTCCGGGTTTTAGCCTGCCACTTTTGGACTTGTGCTTGCTGAGGTGTTTCTGCAAGTGTCTCTGTAGATCTTAGGAAGCTGTTTCTTGATTTAAGGCATTGGCCTGCTGGCTGATATCTGAACAGAGGATAGACTGGAGATGTCACTGCCTTGGTCCTTTCACTATTGGTTGCTACTTCCCAGCGGATGTAAGGTGGTGCAATACCAGTTAAACAGTATAATTTCTCCAGTGGTGTAGGGCATAGACAATCTGTGATAATGTGGCATGTCTCATTACGAGCCACATCTACAGTTTTAATGTGGTGAGATGTATTCCACACTGGGCATGCATATTCAACAGCAGAGTAGCAAAGCGCAAGGGCAGATGTCTTCACTGTGTCTGGTTGTGACCCTCAGGTTGTGCCAGTCAGCTTTCATATGATATTATTTCTAGCATACACTTTTTGCTTGATATTCAAGCAGTGCTTCTTTAAGTCAGAGCATGGTCCTGGGTAACTCCGAGGTAGTTTGGTGTACTGCAATGCTCTAGTGAGATTCCTTCCCAGGTAATCCTCAGAGCTTGAGATGCTTGTCTGTTCTTAAGGTAAAAACACATGTCTGTGTTTTAGATAGATTAGGAATCAGCTAGTTTTCTCTGTAATAGGCAGTAAGAGCGCCTAAAGCTTCAGAGAGCTTCTTTTCAACCATTTCAAAGCTCCCTGCTTGAGCAGTGATGGCATGATAGTCAGCATAGATGAAACTCTGTCCCACCTTCTGGCACTGGCTGATCATTTGTTTAAATGTTAAACATTAATGGAGCAAGCATGCTCCCCTGAGGCAGGCCATTTTCACCATTTGCTTCTCTAGCCCTGGAACTCAACAAAAAAAGTTCCTGTTTTGTAGCAGGTTTCCTATGAAGTGGGAGAGGTAGTAGTCCTTTGTGATATTATACATTTTTCTCAGGAGAAGGCAATGATTTACAGTGCCATAAGTTACTGACAGGTCTCTGAAGATAGATCCTGTAATCTTCTGCCTTTCAAAACTATCTTCTATGTGCCAACTCAGGTTTAGCACTTGTGATGAGCAGCTTTTGCCTTTCATGAAACCAGCTTGCTGTGGAATCAGACATGGGTTTATTTTTCCCATAATTCTATGGAAAATAAGTCTCTCCAGAACTTTTTAAATATTACACAACAAGGAGATTGGTCTATAGCTTTTTGGATCATTATGGTCTTTGCCTGGTTTCAAAATGGCCATGACTCTTGCTTTCCTCCAGGTTTTAGGAATCTGACAGGATGCAATGCAGCTGTTCATCAGCTTTAGCAGTCAGCACCTTGCTTTTGGGCCAAAGTTCTTAATTTGCTCCATCCGTAGATCATCCAGGCAGAGGAGGGCAAAGGCCTGATAAAACTACAAATCTCAGGATTCCAGAGTCTTGAGCCAGGGCAATCAAAGGTAAAGGTAAAGGTTTCCCCTGACATTAAGTCTAGTAGTATCCAACTCTGTGGGGTGGTGCTTATCTCCATTCCTAAGCCAAAGAGCCGGCATTGTCCATAGACGCCTCCAAGGTCATGCGGCCAGCATGACTGCATGGAGTGCCATTACCTTCCCGCAGAAGCGATACGTATTGATCTACTCTCATTTGCATGTTTTTGAAATGCTAGGTTGCCAGAAGCTGGGGCTAACAGCTGGAGCTCACCCTACTCTCCGGATTCCAACCTTTCTGTCAGCAAGTTCAGCAACTCAGCAGTTTAACCCGCGGTGCCATGAGGTGGTCCCTAGGGCAATGAAAGAGGTGTCAAATGACATCAATTACATAATTGATGAGTATTAAATGATTGTTTTAATTACTTGTTTTAATTCATTGTGTAATGTATTGTATTGTTTGTTGTCCATATTTTACTTCTGTTTTATACAGCCATTGAATGTTTGCCTTTATTACATTGGAAGCTGCCCTGAGTCCCCTTGGGGAGATAGGGCGGGCTACAAATAAAGTATTATTATTACTATCAACTTCTACCTTGATACAGCAGATTGGGAAAGGGGAGGGACATCTACACTGTAGAACTGATCCAGTTTCACACTGCTTCACCTGTCGTGGCACAGTGGTGCCAAAACTGCATTAATTCGACAGTGCAAAAGAGATGCATTCAATAAAAACCTGGGCCAAGATCCCCTACTTCCTTATTCTCCCTCTACATCACCATCTCTCAACATGGGGGTCACGAGGGGGTTTCAGAGGGGTCGCCAAAGACCATCAGAAAACATATATTTCTGATGGTTTTAGGAACTCCTTTGACAGAGAAGGCTGAAGACCTCTCCGCCTGTCCTCTTCCTTTTTGGAAACAGACAGTGAATCCTCCCACTAAAAGCCCTCCTCTGTTGTGATTGGCCGGTCTCTCAGCTAAGGGGAGAGCTCTTTTTGAGACTCCAAGCGGAGCGGGCGGGAGGGGCGGGGGGGGGGGCGGCAGGAAGAGCAGGCGGGCTCAGTGCGGGGGGTGGGAGGTAGGTGGGAGGGGGGGGAGTGAGCGTAGAGGAGGGCGGGGGGGTGGTGGGGAGGGGGCGGGGGTGGGGGCTTGGGGGTTGGGGGGGGGGGGGTGGGAGCCGGAGGGAGGGTAGAGACGGGGGAGGGGGGAGGAAAGAGCTTCCTTTTTTGTTGAGACCCCGAGCCCGGGTAGGGAGGGTGCGCTTGCTGGCAGGGGAAAAAGAGAAATGAAGCAGGCTCTGGGGCGTGGCTCAGTGCATGGCATAATTGGTAGGCGCGCCCAATGTTTTTTATGGGTGAGGGAGAGATAGGGTAGCTCGCGGTTGTTGCTGGAGGACTAGGCTCCCTCCAGCCCTCACACCAGCACACAAACTCAGTCCCTCTCAAGGCAGCTTATTTGTGTTTGGTGGCGCCCTTTTTTTTTTTCTGGGGGGGGGGGTTAATTTTGTCATTTGGGAGTTGTAGTTGCTGGGAGGGATTTATAGTTCACCTACAATCAAAGAGCATCCTGAGCTCCAACAATGATGGAATTGAACCAGGCAGCTAAATATCTTTTGACCGAAACGGGCAACAGCAATGGCATTGTCTGTAGTCTCCAGCAGTATATAAATAAAGAGACCACTAGAAGGGAAGAAAGCAGAAAGAAAACACAGTATTTTCTGTTGGTCATGGGGGTTCTGTGTGGGATTTGGCCCAATTCATTGGTGGGGTTCAGAATGCTCATTGATTGTAGGTGAACTATAAATCCCAGCAACTCCCAAATGTCAAGGTCTATTTTTCCCCAAACTCCACCAGTGTTCACATTTGGGTATCTTGACTATTCGTGTTAAGTTTGGTCCAGATCTATCATCGTTTGAGTCCACAGTGTTCTCTTGATATAAGTGAACTACAACTTCCAAACTCAAGCTCAATGCCTATCAAACCCTTCTAGTGTTTTCTGTTGGTCATGGGACTTCTGTGTGGGAATTTTGGCCCAATTTTTTTGTTGGTAGGGTTCAGAATGCTCTTTGATTGTAGGTGAACTATAAATCCCAGCAACTACAGCTCCCAAAAATCAAGGTCTGCTTTCCCCCAAACTCCACCAGTGTTCACATTTGGGCATATGGAGTATTCGTGGCAAGTTTGGTCCAGATCCATCATTGTTTGTGTCCACATTGCTCACTAGAGGTAGGTGAACTACAACTCCAAAACTCAAGGTCAATGTCCATCAAACCCTTCCAGTATTTTCTGTTGGTCATGGGAGTTCTGTGTGGAAATTTTGGCCAAATTCTATCATTGGTGGGGTTCAGAATGCTCTTTGATTTATAGGTGAACTATAAATCCCAGCAACTACAACTCCCAAATTACAAAACCAACCCCACCAATATTCAAATTTGGGCATATTGGGTATTTGTACCAAATTTGGTCCAGTGAATAAAAACGCATCCTGCGTAACAGATATTTAAATTATGAATCATAATAGTAGCAGAATTATGAAGTAGCAATTAAAATAATTGTATGTTTGGGGGTCACCATAACATGAGGAATTGTATTAAAGTGCATTAGGAAGGTTGAGGAACACTGATCTTCAATGAGTTGGAAGGAGGCGTGTTGATTGGAGGAGGCGGGAATTTTAAGAAGCAGAACCGTCCAATAGGAGCGCTCGAGGGGCGGGGCGAAAGGCGGAGATTTGGGCGGAAGCGGAGACGCTGCGAAGGGCGGGGCGGAGAGATAAGGAAGGAGGAGGGGCGTTTCCTTTAAGCCACCTGGAGGAGGAGGAGGAGAAGGGCGTGGAGGACCGGAAGTAGCTGCCTTGGAAAAACAAAACAGCGGCAACAGCAGCTGCAGCAGCTGACTCTCCTTTCTTGCCTGCCTTCCCTGCCATGGCAGGAGTCTCTTCTGCTGGAAGGCTGGACAATGTGAGTTTGCCAGAAGAATGGGGCGGGATGGAAAGGCGCCTTTGTAACGCCTGCTTCTAAGCCTGGGATAGAGGAGGTCTGGGTTTGAACTACAAATCCCAGTGAGCGGGACCCTTGTCATTGAAACTGAATTTGGTCAAGGCACCCTGATGTCTGTAGGTGCATCCACACTGGAGGAATAAGCCAGTTTGGCATTGCTTTTAACCTCCATGGCTCAGTGCTTTGGGACCCTGGGATTTTGCAGCATGGTGAGGCACCAGCCCTTTTAGGTAGAGAAGGCCATGTGAAACTACAACTCCCATTAATCAGTAGCATTGAGCCGTGGCAGCTAAAGTAGTGCCAAACTGCATTAATTCTACAGTGTAGACCAGGCATGGGCAAACTTTGGCCCTCTAGGGGTTTTGGACTTCAACTCCCACAATTCCTAACAGCCTATGGCTGTTAGGAATTGTGGGAGTTGAAGTCCAAAACCCCTAGAGGGCCAAAGTTTGCCCATGCCTGGTGTAAATGCAGCCTATGCATTGTGGGTTGAGTATATTATTTATCAAGTTTGTTTCATATTGTACTGTGAGCTTTTTAATATTTTACTTTGTAAGTTTATTTTATAGTTGTATAGATTTGTTATTTATTTCTTATCTCTCTCTGTGTGTGCATGTACATGTGTTGTGTTTCTATATAGATATGTATTTTATAGTGTACGAATTTGCCTGTTTTAGGTTGTTTTACTTGTCACATTGATAAGTAATTATGTTAATAACAACAACAATAATGCTACACAAATAATAATAATAATAATAATAATAATAATAATAATAACAGCACGATTGAAGAGAAACAACTGGAAAAGCTGACACGATATGAGGATTTAAAGATCGAACTGCAAAGACTCTGGCACAAGCCAGTAAAGATAGTCCCAGTGGTGATCTGCACACTGAGTGCAGTGCCTAAAGACCTTGGCCTGCACTTAAACACAATTGGTGCTGACAAGACTACCAGCTGCAAAAGGCCACCCTACTGGGATCTGCACACATTATTTGCCAATATATCACACAGTCCTAGACACTTGGGAAGTGTCCGATGTGTGATCCAGTACAACAGCCAGCAGAGTGATCTTGTTTGCTGTGGACTCAACTTGTTGTGTTTCAAATAGTAATAATAATGCTTTATTTGTAACCCACCCTTTCTCCCCTAGGGGACTTAGGGCAGTTTCCAACAACATGACACACAGCTGAATAAAATCCCACATTTTCTGCTTTGAATTGGAATATATGGCAGTGTGGACTCGGATAACTCACTTCAAAGGATTTTCTACCTTGATATTCAGGGTTATATGGCTGTGTGGAAGGGCCCAAAGTGGCAAACATTCAGTGCCAAAGCAGACAAGTAATAAATCAAATCAAAGGCAACAAATAAAACAACATCCATATAAACTTGTAAGACTGTATAAGACTAACCAAAGAAAAACAAAATGAAGATGTAGATAAACATGATATAACATATCACACACATTTACCACATGATAAAATCTTACTAGTTAAACCAGGAAGGCATTAAAAACAAAGTGGTTTACGGCATCCTGTGGGCTGAGGTAGGTTTCCGATATCTAGGCGACAGTCTATATGGAAATGTACTAGTCGTCCTCTCTATAAGCTAAGATGCATAAATAGGTTTTAAAAACTTTTTTAAAGGCTAAGAGAGAGGGGGGCATTTCTAGTTCTTTAGGGAGGGACTTCCAGAGCTGGGGCGCGATAATGGAGAAGGCCCCCTCTCTGATCCCCACCAGCCGCACTTGAGACGGAGGTGGGACCGAGAGCAGGGCCTCCTTCACAGACAGCAGCGCTCATGTGGTTTTTCAAATAGTCAAATACACCTGTTTGTTTGTTTTGGTTATATTGACTGTGCTTTGTTATTTGTAATAATTTTAATATTGGTTATATGTTTATTACTGTTCACATTGTTTGCACTGTTATATTGCTGTAAGCCGCTTCGAGTCCCCTCGTGGCGATGGAGCGGGTTGCAAATAAAGTTTTTTTATTATTATTTGTGTATGCAAACACATACATACTGTATATGTACATGTATTTGTGTGTATATATTCATATAAATACATGTATATAATGTAATACTCAATACTGCACTACTATATATAGTGTGATCTTGAGGTGTAAGTGTTGAAATGTGACTCAGCCATGAAAACCCATTGAGTAACCTTCAGCAAGTCACATGCTCTTCAGGTCGCCTTAGGGTCAACATTAGCCAGAAACATCTTGAAGGCACACAGCAAAAATAAAATGCATAAACACACACATATATAAATATCTACCCTTGTCTAGAAATAAATGTAGATAAAACCGTAGACCTTTTGTGCAGCAGGCTATATATAGTCCACAAAAGGTCTTGCTCTTGCCCTAATACGTTTATTAAGCCTTTTAAGTCTGTAAGAGCCTTTGTGATTTTCCATGCGAAGGTAGCAGGGGTTAAATACTGTCTGGGTCATATGATGTGGTGTGTCTTCTCATTTTGAGAATCATAGTTTGTTCTAGTATCTTTAGAGATAGGAAGAAGGGAGAATAAGGCATGTGATCTGGATCAGTAAAAGAGCTGTTCCAGGGGTCAGCTGCTGGTCTGCAGTGAATTTCCAAGAAAGAAAGAGAGAGAGAGAGTGGTTGCCGATGTGCTGAAAAGCTTAGAAACCCAAAAGCTGAGATTTAGATCATGATTGTTTGTGCTTTTACCTGTGTATACACTTGTTTTGAAAACCTGAATGTCCAGCTAATTGTGGATGATTGGAGTTAAAAGTCCCATCTGCCTGCATGACAATACATTGGAAAGGATGACAAGATAAAATCATCGTAGTGCTTACCTTTCCAGTGCAAATACTTGGGTGGTCAAATTTCTCTTTTCAAGTCTCTCCCTCCCATTCACAGACAGACCCAATCATAAAGATGTGTTCCAATGCATTTGGCCTTATTACTTGAAGCCAGTGATGACCCAACCTGTGGTCCATGGTTAACCAGTGGTCCGCAAGAACCAAAATATGGCCCATAGCCTCATTGTTAACACCATTGCAATGAGAGCAACTGGTCTTGCAAAACCCTCTTATAGTGCTGAGGCTTAATAAATATGGTTTTCTGTGGGCAAGCAGATGGTGACTACGGGATGGCATATGTTCTGTATCAGAAACTAAAGCTGATGTGGTCTATGCAATGCACTTTTCTGAATCAGCAACCCCCAATAGCCAAACCAAATCTAAAGTTGACCAAAAACTGATTTGTAACCCTTTTGGTGCTAAAGTTAGAGAGTGATCAAAGTGGTCCCTGACCAAAGTAGTCCCCGGTCAAGTGGTCTCTGGTCAAAAAAAGGTTCGCAACCACTGCTTGAAACTGTTATAGCAGCTAAGAGCTTGAGTCTCTTTAAAGTTAGCAGATGTTCCCAGTACAATTTCGTTTTGACTCAAGTTTCTTGAAAAACTTGGGAATTTCTTTAGTTGCAGCAAAGTTTTAACAAGTAAGGTCTGGTGTAAATATAGGACTCGCAGATTCATAGAATCATAGAGTTGGAAGAGATTTCTTGGGCCATCCAGTCCAGGCCCCTGCCAAGAAGCAGGAAAATCGCATTCAAAGCACTTCCGACAGATGGCCATCTAGCCTGTTTAAAAGCCTCCAAAGAAGTTTGATTTCCAATGTGTATTTGCGGAAGGAGTATGTCTGTGCTGTTCTGTTAATCTCAGACTGTATCTCTACAAATTTGGCCTGTGAATTTTATTTTTCCCTCAGAAATTGTTCTGTGGAACACAAGACCTAGATGCTTTTGTTGGAACATTCTGTATATACTTCTCTATGTGTTAAAAGAAAAAATCCCAAAAATTGACCTCTCCAAAACTGCGTCAGGTTATATATGGGTCAGCAGGTTTTTTCTTTCCATTGCAGCACAACTTCAAACCTTTTAGAACAGTGGTTTCCAACCTTTGGTCCTCTAGCTTTTTTGGACTTCACCTCACAGAAATCCCAGCCATCTTACCAGCTGTTAGGAATTGTGGGAGTGGAAGTCCAAAATACCTGGGGTACCAAAGGTTGGGAACTACTTCTTTAGAATTACTGGGCTGGAAAATGGTGGAGGTGATGGCTTTCTGATTTCTTCTACCATAGTTTTTGCTCCTTCCTTCATGGCGACAGCAACTGGGTGGGAAGAGTTTGGAGACATGCTAACTAAAGGAAGGCAAAAGTTTTAAAATAAGCCAAAGGAAGAGCAAGGGTCAATGCAAGATAGTGTCTAGTGGCCCACAAACCAGCCATGGGGACAAATATTTCAGAGTTCAGCGTTTGCTAAGGAAGGAGCTTAATGGTGAGCTCAGCTAAAAGAAAGGAAGAAAGAAAGAGGGAGGATGGTGAATTGAAAGGCCGAAGGGCCCCTCCTTGCCACAAATGGCTGCCAGATCCCTTTGCTTGTTTGGTGGGCGCCTTCTTATTTGGTGGCGATCTGGAAGGCATCAATTGTTTTTGTTGCTTCCATTTCTATATTTCATTGCATCCCTCTGGCAGGGCTTAGATATAGCTTAGTCCAAAGTTTTAGAGAACATAAGAAAAGCAACAACTCCCTCTACTCTGTCTGGAAATGCCAAAGAGCTGCCACCTTGACCATTTTTCTTCCCAGGCTTTCCAAAAGCATCAACCCTCTCTATTCTCTTCAACATCCTTTTGTAATACCTGGAAGGAAAAATGACCCCAAAAAGAGCAGATGGGGCTGATATAATATTGACTCATCCATGGATCACGTCACAATCCATAATTGTGGCACAAAATCTGACCTTGATTTATACATGAGGTTGGCTTATGCAGTATATATAGTACAGTTTTTTTCTCTCGTTTTTTTCTCTTTTACTACATAGTTATTCACCAGTTTAGCTGGATAAGTGGATTAGGTCCAGGAGAGTGGCACTTCTTTCTGGGTAAATGTGTAAATGACTGCTGTGTTAGATTTTTTTAAACTACTGACTTTCT